TTCATCTAGTAAGTAGGCATGGTTACTTAGAATCAGTTCTAAGTCTGGATCCTAAGGAAAAGGACTTCAAAAATCAATTTAAATGACTGTGTACTTACAGATAACAATTTTGGAGGGTTTGCTTCCCCTTTTCCTTTTCTTCATTAGATGTATTGCTACTGACCTTCATGCTTCATAGATATTCTGTATAAAAAGTAGTCACAGGAGTGGGTAACATATGACCCTCCAGATGTTTTGGTTTACCGCTTCCATCTGTTCTGGAGATTCTAGAGCCTAATCTAGCTTTCTTTGGTAGAGGACTTGGTTCTTCTGTGATTTGTTTTTGGCATGATGGTCTCAACAAAAATTGAGTTGAAACACTAGAAACAGCTAGTATTACTCTCCACTGAGCCTGATTTTCAGATAGAGTTCTTTGCTTTAAAATAAAGCAGGAATCAGAATAGTGTTTTTTCTAGGGTTTTTTTCCCCCAAACTCCAGAATTTAAGATACTTGCACACAAGTAAATATGCTGTGGTAGATTACCATGCCCACTTCAAGTTCAGTTTCTATATAAACTTGCTGTATGTTTCATTCCCACATGTCTTAGACTGCTTTCTCCTAAGAAAAAATGTATTAAGGCCTTGTAAGCATGGGAGAGATTACAAGTAGCACTATAGATTTGATTGCTGGTTGTGTTCTTTATTCCAGCGATGAAAAGACATGTCATTGTTGATTTAGAAAGCGCTTTGTCTTTTCATCTATAGGAAATGCTGCAGCAAAACCTAGAAGCAAAGTGCAGGTGGTACACAGCAATGCCTATATGCCTACTTTTGTTCTATTTTTATCCAACTCCTTCCCAGGGACTTAGGCAGCATGTGTTGTTCCTTTTCACTTTCACAACCAGCCTGTGCTGTAGGCTAGTATGAGAAATGGAAACTATGTTAAAGGTACCCAGTAAATGTCTTATCAGCAGGGATATGAGGCATGTCTCCCTAGTTCAAATTTGACACTATACCACACTGGATAAAGTAGGCAGTATTCATGTTAGGAAACTTTTAATGGAAAGTTGGGACAAGGATGTTTAGATTATGAAATCCCTTATCAGGTGACCTTATCCATCAGTAGTGATAAACTTGTATTCTGTAATTGCTTTGATCTTTTATGAGTGGGTGAATACTAGTTCTTGGTTATTTTCAGTTTCAACCAGCAGTCAATTTTTTATTAAGAAGAGGGAAGAGGAATTAATTTTCTAGGTGAAAACTGACATTTACCTTGAGATTCACAGATGAAATCTTTTGTCAATAATGTACATCAGAGGTGATAACTGGGATGAAGTAGACATTACACAGTAGAAATGTGCAACATATGTAAACTATTTATGAGTTTTATAATATCTAGTGGTATTTAAGTATTACAAATAGATGAAATATCAGTTTTTGTTTCGACAATTAAAAGCTGCTGTAGGAGGCTGTTGGTTGGATAGAAGGAATGGGGTAGGAGGGATTTTTACCCTTTTCCTTCCTTACATCTTTCTCATTTTTTTTTCACTTTAACATTCCTGCTCCAAATTTTGGGGGGCTGTAGAACCAAATGTTGCCTATTCTTGACCTGAAAGAATAGCGAGATTTCATAAAGAAAAACAGCTATAGGGCAATGAGTGAAGCAGCTCATCTCTACAAACTCCCTTCACCTTTTACATCTTCCATATAAGATCAAGTTTGCCTCTCACGGTTTTGATCTTTGTTGATACTGCAATATCATTTAAGAGTATAGGTCCCAGATTTGAGGGAAATAACTTTGGAATTCCATATAATTGCAAAACAGTTATTTTTCTGGGAGAACAATTTGATTAGAATGAAAAAAAAATACCCACAATACAAAGTTTCAGTGTCCCACTCTATTCAAAACTGCCTGTACCCCATTCTTATTAGAAATGTCTAAAAAGTTAAAACTGGGCATTACTGGCGAAGAAATACCATACTTTACTGTGCACAAAGGTGATTCTATGCCATATCATAACAATACACACTTCAGGGAGTAGGTATATGATTTCAGGTGGTCCAGTGCTTAGTATGAGCCACCCCTATATATTTATGGGCTTTTATCCTCATTAGGCAGCATTCACAAATGTATCCTGCACCAAAATGAGACTGGTCCACATGCGATGCTGTGATCAGTTCTAGAGGCTGATCAGCTATAGTGGATTATTGCATTGTTGGCACCCAGCCCAGTTTCTGCAGATTGGCTTATTTTCACAAAGAAGCCACCCTGACAACTCATGACTTGTTTTTTATTTATTTATTTATTTATTTATATCTTGCCTTTTTCCTACAAAGGGCTCAAGGCAGCTTATATCATTCTCCTCCTCCATCTTATCCCCACAACAACAACCCTGTGAGGTAGGCTGGGCTGAGAGTCTGTGACTGGTCCAAAGTCACCCAGTTGGCTCCATGGCCGAGCGGGGACTAGAACCCAGATCCTCTGAGTCCCAGTCCCATGCTCTTAACCACTACACCACACTGGCTTGTTGCATAGCTTCTTGCCACTTCTGAATCTGGCAGAGTGAATTTATTGTGGGTATTCAGGCTAAAGGACTTCCTGGGATGACCAATAAAAATACTTGGTGTTCCTCTCAATTTCACATGCGCCACCACTATATTTCATCTTCCTCCTTAATGCTTTCTACCCTGTGGTCCTCAAAATCAAGATGAAAGAACACTGGACAGTGTGCCAAAATGTGTTTGCATTTTTTTCCAGCCCTGTGTAAATGCCCAGTAGTGAGACTCTGCTGTTAGGAAATGTGCACAATTTCCCTCCAGTTTTACTGCATTGCCTCAAAATTTTCATTGCCTTGAGATTTGTGCGATTCCCCCTCTGAATTGTACTGCTCTTCCTTGAAATTTGCAAGTTTTTTACTAGTTTTTTACTAGTTTTACTATTTCCTATTTTTCCCTTGGATTGACTGCTTTGCCTTGAAATTTGCATATTTTTCTTCTCTGATTTACTGCTTTGCCATAACATTTACATATCTTTAGTGATCCTGCTCACTGTGCAATAATATGACTGCTTGCATCAGGGCCGAGGTGATAAGGATGAAGAGAGGTACAGGGGAAGTGGGAAGACCAGAGAACATCTGGGAGCTACAAGAGATAAGGAGCTTTAGGAACCAATTTTGTTTTTTCTGTAAAACATGAGGCACCTTTAAAAAAAGTGTCAGGACTGAAGTGGAAGATGAAATTGATAAGGACATTGGCAAGGCTCAGAAGGGTATTTTTCTTATGACTTTACATTTCTGTACTTCCCATAGCCAAAGCTCTTTGGGCAATTAATAACATTCAAAGTCACCCATCCAGATTTCATCCAGGCCCGATCCTGTTTAGCTTCCAGGATTAGGCAAGATCAGGCACTTCAGGCTACAGAATATCAGAATGCTGGTCTCGATATTGGGACTGTGGTTCTACAGTTGAACTGAATGGGGCAGACCATGCGGTTGGATATCTGTATGAGAGTGAAGCTTGAGTCAGGATATATTCAGGCTTCTTTGTTATTCCCTTCGTAATTGATTTGCAAATAGTGCATGAAAATAATGTGTTCTGAAGTCACATTCTATCAAAACCTAATTGTGAATAAGGCTGCAGTCATACAAATTTACCTGAGGCTAAGCTCCACTAACTTAATGGGACCTCTAAGGCATTTATAGGATTGTGCTGTAAGCATGCAATTCGATGGCCAGTGGACACTGTCTGGCCAGCTATAGGGTAAGTAGGAGTCTCTGCAGTGACTTCATGGTTATCCTGCAAGGTCACAGCAAGGAATGGTTTCTGGAAGGTTCTCCCTCTGCCCTCGCATCTGGTGCAGTTCCTTCCACACAAGCTGCAACCTCAGAGCACAGGTATTTGGGGAGATGCTTCAAGGGTGGGGAGAAGAGAAACCACACACGACATCCCATGAAAAATCAGCATCTCCTTCTTGTGAACAGATTTGGACAAACATATCTGGCCAAATCATACAAGCATAGAAACAGAGTGAGTCAGAAGGGGCCTCCTGGGCCATCTAGTCTGACCCCTGGCTCCAGGTGGCTCCACTTATGACATGGCTACCTTTGTGTCTTTTGCAAGGAGAGGGAATCCTTGCCTCTGTGCACTTCCAGCTCTCAGGTGGATACCTACAACTGTCTACACATAGGGAATTATAGGCCACCATGTAGGACAGTACCCTCATTTCCATTTAATTAGACAACTATTTAAATGACCAATTAAATTTTCTTAGTAGCTGGACCTTTGATCTGAGACTGCTTCATCTGCCGTATTCATCTTCACTTTTTGTTATTTATTCATATATTTTTGTTACTGCTTCTGCTTTAAATTTGTCATATGTTACTATGAACCCTGTGTGCAAAATGGAAGGGAGGGATAGGAATTTTCTGACAGAAATACTTCCCGTTGCTTTCACTGGGATATGTCCATGACTAACATTTATTGAATTTCATCCTGCCCATACAGAAAATGTAATATTATTTTCCTCCCTATGTTAAAAAAGAACTTTTCAGCAGTTAGTTGGTTAGAATTGTTTAAATTCAATGAATGACTTACTTGATTTCAGTTTAATGTATGCTGTTAATCCTCTAGCAAGAAATTTCTATTGACAGTACATTTCATTAACCTGGAAGAGTAACTTTTTCTTAATCGTGTTGTTTGGTAACAAAACATTATATTTAAGACATTAAAGGTACAATCCTATGCATGTTCAGACAAAAAGGCTTATGCTTGCTGGAAAATGCTGGGAGTTATATGACTTTTCCTGTCTAAACATGCATAAGTACACTAAGGCTGCAATCCTGTACCACATACCCAGGAGTAAGACCATTGCACTGAATGGAGCTACTTTTGAGTTGTTATGCACACAATTGCACTGTTAAAGACATAGTGTATCTTTTCCTTATAAGCCAAATGTTATGCCACTAATCCCGGTTTTGTTTTATACAACTCATCCTAGTACTTCACATGTGTTTGTTTCTTAGGCAAACGTGTAAAACCCTTCAAGAACAAGGAGATTTCTGCTGTGCCTGATGACAATTTTTGATTATTCCACACACACACAATATTCTGGCTCCACGTTTGGAGCAATAGTTGTGGTAAATCATAGTCTTGGTCGGAGTCTCAGGAAGGGGCAGAAGGTGCGTTGAGGAGTAAAGAGTCAAAACCACTCCTGAAAGATGTTCCAGCCTTGGTTTATTACTCAAAGTGCAGCAGGTGTGTACAAATACAGGTTTCTGTAGTTGCAGCAAGATTTGATGTACTGTTTCTTACACTTATTTCATTTATTTATAAAAGCATTTTGATTCTGCTTTTCAAACCCTAACAAGGACTGGGAAAGCAGTTTATAGAACAGCCAAAACATACAAAACATCATAGAATAATTTAAATTAAAATTAGAACCTTAAAATAGAAGCAGAGTTAAAAAGTTAAATCCTGTATTCAGTGGCCACCTAAATGCTGTCAGGAATGGAATTAGTCTCACCTCCTTTGGGATTCTCCTACAGATGAGATCTTGTCTGACAGAGCAACATGTAATCAACATGTAATTTAGATTACCTTTGGAAGGATTCCCAAGGAAAGACATTCTGGGGCTATTTTGGAAGGTAAATGTTTTGAATATAAGATGATAGGGCCATTATTACTTATAGTGCACACATTCCTTCGGTCATTCGTGTGTGTGTGTGGTCTCTGATTAAACCATAGTATAATATATAGCTAATAACATTATAAGGCTTGTCTGTGCAGTTTTCCCAGTTTATCCTGGTCTAACAGCTCTATTCACACTGTAAACATAATAAAAAGCCTAAAAGGCAGCAGGAATACATCGATAGGTATCTGTAGCATGTGAAACTTCACCAAGAGCCAATCCACAATATGTTTTGGTTCAGGTTTATGCTAATCTCCAGTGGCATATGTGCCTTGACTCAGGCTTTGGTTAATATGCCAACAGCAGACACTGGGAACCTCTAACCCATGGAGGTTCCTGATCTCTCTCACTAGTCTCTTCCCTTGGCCATACTTTATTCTTCCTAGCCCATGAAAACCTCTTATTTCTGATCAGTCGCCTTCTGAGGTAAGAGCTTTTTCAGCAGTGAGCTCGGATTTTCATTCACTCTGAGTGACACTGCTTGTATGACTCAATACTTGCTTCTTCATGATCTATACGTTATTTTGATGCAGATATTACACTACTGATGTTTAATTTTTAAAAGTATATAGTAAATTTCCATATCCTTCTGGGTTTCTCACAATACTTTGGTTTTCAGGTTTCCTAAAATTATGTCAATATGTTGTTGTTGTTGTTTTTAAACAACTTGTTTGTGAGATGTATTAAATCAGGGTAAGGAAACCTGGTGTTTCCAATTGTTTGGGCTCTAACTCCTGTAATTCCAGACAATTGAACATGGTGGTGAGGGCTAATGAGAGCTTGTAGTCAGGTTGCCTACCCACTGCTTTAGGAAGAATGATGCTGTCAGTCTTTTAGGCTGAACCCGGCTACAAGTCAGATATTTCACAAACAGATTAAAATCAGGAGACATGAATGGAGCATAATGAGAGTCTGAAACAATTTCAGCTTACAATAACTGACACTCAAGGAAATAGAAGCCATAATAGTCTTATTGCTATATGTATTTATAGTGAATGGCAAACTGTGTATTTATTTATTATATTTTTAAACTATCCAATACTCAATGTGCTCTCAGCTGATGATAAGAGATATTTATTGGTAAGATAACCAACTCAGGGTCAGTGTTTTTTGGTGGCCTGATTATCTGAGTATATGATAAATCTTCAATCTATCAACTATCTCTAAACTATTTCTAGGCTGCATTTAAAGGTAGAACCATCCCAAGGCAGCACATGAGATAGAAAGCACACAGGCTGGGTACAATAAATATCAATATTCAACATGAATACATAAACACAAACTTATCAATAGACACCAGAAGCCCAGATTTATAGGCAGGCCAGTGGAAATGGGTGGTCTTCAGAGCTTTATTGAAGACCTTCAAAAAAGGGACTGACAATTTCCTTAGGGAAGATGCAGTGCCAAACTGTTCATCCTTAAGCTATGCAAAGTACCATTTCAGGTTGTTTTCTACACAACTGTTTCTGAACCCATCATAGCACTGAAGTAGTTATAGAGAATTGTTAATCTTTCATTGAAAATTGGCCCTCAAGCAGCAAAGCCAATCATGCTTTTTGACTGCATTCCTAGTTACAAAGAAGCTTGAAGAGTCAGGGGAAGGAAACTGGCCAGGAACTGGAATGAAGAGAAGAACCTAGGCAAGGATATGACCATGTGGGATAGAAACCAAGAAAGAGAACTAGGGAAGAAACTAAACACACATTAAAAGCATGCAGTAAATGCAAGGATGTTAGGTTATATACAACCCTCAGCTTCCCAGAGACGCAACAGGAAGGGCTATTGTGTGAACTTCACTGTTTTTGGTTAGATTATGGAAGTTATCACAAGACACCCTGATAGTTTAGAATTTACATTACATTTTCCTAGTACCATTTTCATCAAACAATAGCATCAGTGGGAAAACATTTGCCCATTCAGCCAAGTGAATTGGATGTCAACCGCTCATCTGAATCCACCCTACTCTGTAAGAGCTAATAACCATCAGAAGACATAAATTGCTCAAACAGTATTGCTACTAGACCACTTGCAAAGCTACTGAGGGGAACATTATCAGGACACATAGCGCTAGGAATCAACGTCTACATTTACTTTGGAAAGCTAAGTAAGTGACAAGATTTTACAGGAGTATCAAAAGGACAAGATAATATTTTCCCTGTGAGATTAAAATGCTTTTCACTGAGGGTCAAATTGGAAAAAAAATGTTTTGAGTTGCAGAATTGCAGTTCATTTGCATGTGTTGATGACAATATAACTTGTCAATCATTTATATAAGTGTTACAGGTGACAAAAAGCAGAAATAAGATATTTTGCACAGAGTTTATAATATTCATGTCCTGGAACAATTAACCCTAAATAAGGAGTTGAAAATGAAAGGATTTTTTAGGGGTACAACTATGTGAATGCTTAGGCAGAAAAAGTCCTACAATTTCCAGCATGCTCCAGCTAGCTATGCTGGCTTGTCCAGGCTGGAAGTTGTAGGATATTTTTCTGTCTAAATATTCATATACTTGCTTCTTTAAGATTATATAAAAGATTCAAAAAGAAATAGTAATTTGGGACTTTTTCAGTCTTCTAAGCCTTTGATTCATATTGTGATCATTTTTTGAGCTTATTTTGGAAGCTCCATGAGATACTTACACAAAATAGCATGCTTCACACATGCTTCATCAATTTTAATATAGGAAGCTTGAAAGTGAATATGGGTACAACAGAAATCAAGATATGAATGATACCCAAGCCAAGATGATTCCCACCTTCATATTGGATGACTATGAACTATGTTAGTACCGTCCTTTTTGCTTACACAAATCACATATTGTTGATTATTTGTGGAAAACATATAATTCACTTTCCAAAATTCCTACAACGAATGCCTTCCCATCTGTTCAGAAATATGCTTCCAGGCAATCTCTCCATTCTATAAAGTGTGGAAATTATAAACTGTCAACATGTGTTGATCTTCAGAGAGTCCAGTCTAATCTAATACAATGCAGGATGCTTGTAACAGTAAAATAGGGAATGGACTTCTTCGTTTTCTTCAGATAAGGCTTGCATCCTCTGCGACAGACACAGTCCCAGACAAAGGCATTCCCCATTCCCTCCTATGATTTCAAAGTAGTACTTTCCAACTACAATTTCTATAAGCATGTCTGGTGAAAATAAGTTTTCAAATATTGTGTTTGAGCCTCATTTCATTTGAATTCATGTTCTAGTGGATCAAAAGGGTTTAAAACATATTAACCAATTAATTATGTAAACATTGCAGCCCTAGTTAATAGGTTTCCTTGAAAAATAATGTATTTGTATCAGATTTTATACATATCTTTATATTGTTTTAATTTTGACCAAGCTCAGACAATAACAAACATGATTTACACTTCGTTGTAGTGTTAAACTAGATAGTTCCTAGTTAGTTGTGTTTGCTCCATTCAAGTAAAAGACTTCAAGGAAAATCTATCCAGCCACTTCTGCAAGAAGCCCAGGTGGCAAATATGATCCTTTTCTCCATGTTGTGTTATCACCATAAAAGCTGAGGCTGGGAGCCTGTGACTGGCCCAAAGTCATCCAGTGAGCTTCATAATCAAATGAGATCTTGCATCTAGTTCTTCTGAGTCCCAGCTCAACACTTTGCTCACTACACTATACAGACCTCTGTCTCCTCAGGACCCAGAGATCTGCTCCTTCCATCTAGATGAAGGTGCATTGCCATCCTGGGACTAAGTGGACTTCAGCCATGAAGACACCTGCATGATGCAGCCTCCTAGCACCATTTCAACCTTAAAGCATGATGCTTTAATAGAAAAGACCTTAGTTTAGGCACTAGGTTAACCAACCTAAAGGAAAACAACCCCCTGCTTAAGACTTAGTCGTGATCTGCTTCTTGCTGAAGCAATACATGAGTACAGACAGGCTTGTCTGGCTTGAAGTATCATTCAGAACTCTCCATGATGCTCTCTTATTCCTTTCCCTTCCTTTCTGGAAAACCTAACTCATCTAAGACCTTGGGAGAAACATGAATCAAGTGGACATCCTGCAATCCAATCATCATCAGTGTCAAGAATGCTAAGCTCTCATCACAATGGAGGCAGAATAGAATAATGCCTTGCTGCTAACCTTGATAGGTTTGTGTTTTAAGCTTTTATGTCTTTACCTGGTCATTTATATCATAGATTATCAGGGAAAACTGTTAAAAGCAGTGGAATGCAATAGTGGTGTTATGGGAAGGTGCCTTTCCTCCCCTTTCACACACATGCCTTTCTGTCCAACAAGTAAAACCCAAAGCTTGATTTATATGTTACTGGGGCATCACATGCTTATGATATAAGCAATTGCAAGTATGGGCCTTAGAAGATTTATACAAAGGTTGGATCTGAAGATCCCTTGATGCAGACAGA